AGTGCTTTAGAAATGCAAACTGCAATTCAAGACAACCTTTTTACACAAAGTCTTCTTCAGTAAATACTTTAGGTACAACAGGGCGCTAAATGTACCATCTGATATTTCTGCGTTGCAAAGCTGTTGTTAAGGAATTTCTGTCTAAACAACAACAAACAACATCCAGTAATTACTTTTGAATTCTGAATCAGCATTAGTGGAATGTGTATTGTTTGCTTTGAGCACAGCTGCAGCCAGTGTTAAGTTCATACTCAGACAGTGCTCGCTTTAAGTTCCCTTCTCCACGAATGTGAGGCTGCTGTGATGGTAAAGGCTGCAGTGTAACCACTTCACTGCAGAGACAGTGAGGAAGACAGGCAGTCTGTGGGTGGGGCAGGTCTGAGGGGAATACTGTGAATCAGCGGGATGAAGTGCGGCACTCCTCCCCTGGCTCCTCACCTCCTCTATTCTTCTTAAGTTCTCCCACAGGAGAACAAAGAGTGAGGAACAACTCCCGAAGTGCTTGTTACCTAAGGTTTCTGTCAGTTCCCTTCACAGCTTTATTCTGTTGTGGCAGATACTGCAAGATATTTAATGAGTATAACAAATGACGCAATTAGTGTATAAAGTTGTTCCATCCAGTTGATGGGAAACGTCACTGACAGCAATCTTATATTATGGTTAAAAAACAGTCTTATATTCTCTTTCAGGTTCTACCTGTGTAATGAGGAAAGAATGAACTTCACAAGTTTCAGTGCAGCTTTGGTAGCAACAGTTTTAAAAGCTGGTGTGATTTTTGTTGTGTGCTTTTGTCAGACAAACACATACAGAAGAGTTTGACATGCACTGTCATAGTGTGCACACTGAAAAGCAGCACCCAAGACAGCTACTCTGTTTTTGACATATTCCAAAAATATTGCTCTGCTGAAAGGCACAGACAAGACCAAGATAAAGAGAAAGATGAATATGAAGGGTTAGCAGCTGTTCAAAACACAAAAAAAGGAAAGAGGCTCCCATGATGGGTGAGACATTTTTCAATAGGATGAATGAGTAGCAGTAGGATGTTCATTATACCGTAATTATGTATTGGAGTTATCGTAATTACATGTTTCCAACTTGTGACGTATAATTGCAACTGTCCCTTTCCTGAAACCGCAGATATATCTGACTTGGTGCTTCCTTTCACACACACACAGACACACACACACATCGATCTGTATTACACCGCATGCATATGGTGCAAGGCTACAAGCAAAGCCGTGGGCTCAGTGCAAGTTGGTGTCGAGCCTTTCAAGTAAGGACTCAGTGCTTGAAGCTGCCATAATAGATGTTTTTGGCCTCTCGGGGAGGGGGAGAAAAACTCCACAACAAGTTAAAAGAACATCAAGGGAACAGCGGTAGGACATACAGCACACTGATTCTGGCATAGTGGAGACTGCAGGTCATGTGACACACTTGGACCCAGGAAGCAACTATCACAAAAGAAATGAGATTTAGGAATTACTCTTCGTAATAGACATTTGAAAGACATGACCAGCTATATTATTCTCCTGTTATTCATATGCAGGCAGCGAGCAGGCTTATCAAGAGAAGGACTAAAATGTGCCTGTGGGCTCATCAGTGTCCCACACTGAAGAGCTTTCTTTGGAACCAGTCTCGGAAAACTGTATCCAGTTCGGGGGAAAACACAGACCTCTGAAATATTATTGCCTTACAGGTTGATACATATAGCTGAAACATGTGGGCATCTGTTTACACATCCAGCAGACGGTGACTGCCCATTATTGCGACGTCACGTTATTCAGAAACCCCAATAGTCCGAAAAATGTCCCATTGGACCGAAAGGTCATTTGTCCAACAGCCTGTTATCCCGAAAGGAGAAGCCCACTGCTCCGAAGGCCTTGTTTTCTGAAAATACACACTCCCTGGAGTTCTGGGTGTGCAGGAAAGTCCAGTGACCTTCATGGTCGTGGTAACAATAATAAACGTGGCTGACCCTGACACACTTTGTTTAGGTTTAGGCTCCAAAACTACTTGGTTAGGTTGAGGAAGAGATCATAAGTGGTTGGTTTAAGTTAAAGTAAGTCACTTTGTTATGTCAGTTGAGTTACGTACATAAGTTTGTGTATTTTCAGAACAACTGGAGCAGTGGACGTAAAAATAAGCAGTTCCAGCCCACACGCACAGTTTACAGTAAATGCACAGATACCATTTGTGTTAATGTAATGTTAAGTCTTGTGATTATTCGTTTTTTTGACCACCAGTACGGCTTGAAAAAGCGCGAGGAAGCTGAGGCCGAGGCAGCAGCCGCCGCAGAGGAGACAGCGGCCGGCAGCTTGACTCGACCCAAGAAGGCCGTGCCAGCCGGCTGCGGTGACGAGGAGGAAGAGGAGAGCATCATGGACACAGTGATGAAATACCTGCCGGGCCCGCTGCAAGACATGCTGAAGAAGTAGGCTAGCTCGTTAGCTAGAGCTAACGTTTTTCTAGCTTAGTTCATAGGCTACATTCACAAAGTTGGCTTCAGGGTTTTTTTTCCCCCATGCACATGACAGATATGAACTTTGCTCTGTAAGTACGTTAAATGAAGTTTAATTCGGTGCGGTCCTATGGAGACAAATCAAAGTTTTATGGTGGTGAAATGAATCAGATGTGCAATGTAGCCATTAGACTAAGCTAGGTCGAGTGGCCAGGTGAACGTTAGCTTGACTGATGTTGACGTTAGCTATGTTACACTATAATGAAGCTAGCAGCAAGCAGAGGGGCTAAAAACACAATGTTAGATTGTTTATCCTTCTAGTCTGAAATGTTTTAAACTCCCTTTTTCTCTCCTCTGTGACAGCTGCAGAGCTCTCTCGCAGCCCCGAAAAATAACATCCCTGTTCACTCAATTTGTACATATAGAAATGAATACATTACAGGCCTCAAGGTGGGCAAAGAATCATAAAACAATATATGAAATTATTATACTAACTGTGTGTCTGTCTCTAAAATAAAAAAAAAATGTGATAACTTGATAAGCCATATTTTAAAAAGGAAACTTAAAGACTACTGTTGTGTGCTCCTAAAGCTACTGTTTTGTGTTCGACCATGTCTGGAATTTATGTAAAACTTTTTGCACACAGTGTGACACATTCTCTGTCAGACCTGTTGTCTATCTCCCCTCCACACTGCCCCCAATGGCCAACATCAAAGTGTAATGACATTCATGTAGTGTAGTGTTTAAAAATGTTTCTATTCCCCTGTTCAGTGCGTCTCCTTCTTGCGTCTTGCATGCCATTTGTCTGGAGTTTGTTGTGTGAATATGTACCAACTCACCCCCCTCTGCCCCTTTTATCCTCTTCTTTATCATGCAAAAAATATTATGGCAATAACTCCTAAGTTTGAGTGTGTTTTCACTACCATGTCAATATAACCGTTAATAATATTAGTAATAAAAAAAAATGATATGTATGCATTCAGGAAATTTCATTTACAGGTTTGCAGGGTTTTCTTTTTTTGTTGTCTCGTTGTTTTGATGAAGAATGACCGTGTAGCCGTCCATACAGCCAAAACCTTAAGCTTTCAGCCATAAAACCAGAACTTACAGTATATATACTATTACTATCAGGATCTACTACTACTACGGAGAGAGTACTGAATGACTATATGAATAAATAAGACATATGTATTCGTGATTTTTAAGCTATAGCAGTATTAACTGGAAAGTGGACTACAAGTCTGGATTTTGCATTGTGTAAAGATTTGTGAGAACGAGACCACCCTGCAATACACACACACACACACACACACACACACACACACAGTGAACTGAATGCTACAGTTTGGCTACTGATTTAGTTACACAGCAAAACCAGAAGACATGAAGCAATGCTTTATTCTGTTCTACTTACTGTTGGTTTAGGAGTGATTGATTTGCTGAGGGTGACATGGAATGCCATGAGCAATAAAGGATTATCATGTATGTTTCTGCCTGAGATTCAATAAAAACTTAAAACCTTGTTCACAGACATTAAAAACGTGTCATCTTCTGTTCTCTGCGATGTGAGGTTGGCTTTAAAGCAGACAGGGAAACGGCAGGTGCCAACATACTGTTCTTCTTCCCTTACTCTGTTATTTGTAAACTCACATGTAGAATGTGCTAATTCTTAAAAACAACACCTACGATAAGTCAAAATGTCATTCTGGGGGGAAAATTTAACCATATACCCCAAAGGTTTGGAGAATTTTATAAGATGTTCATTTACAATAATTTTTTGTTTAAGACATATTTTTTTAAAAATAAAGAAAATTACACTTAGGTAAAGGGGGAAAATATTTCTCAATCAAACATAATTGTGTCTAATTGGTGCTAACTGGTTTAAGAAAAGGCTACAGAAATCCTGCCATATTAATGAAACATTAATGGGGTACTAGATAGATAATAAGTTAATAATTTGTGAGTTTTTCACTGTACCAGGATGGACAAAATAACAGGAACAACAGAATACAATCTATAACTCAATAAAATGTAATGCCCCTGCAGACAGCAAATATTTAGGTTATAAAGAGTTTTTGCTGTTATTGTGTCATATAGGTGGTAAGGCTAATCTTTGAGACCCTATAGTAATTGTAATAGGCTACATAATTTTGCATGTGTTCTGTATTTTTGCTTTTAGCCCCCCTTTGCAGCAATGAAAATCTGCTTCGTACCAGTGCCTATTTTCACACAATATATGAGCTGTGATATATATATATTTTTTTTTTCCTCACTGGAAACAACATTAAATGAAATTAAAAGAATTATGCAAATGCAGGTTCTGATCACTGCATTTGTAGCTTTACTACAGTCAGCAGAAGTGTAGCACTGCTATTGGTCTGCAGAGGGCAATATAGGGAGAGAGGGATAGTCCAACTGAACTGACTTGGTGCATTTCTTCCATTTTGCCTCAGAGTGTCACTGTTGTCTTTATATGGGAGTATCCAAGTAACTATACAACAAAATGCAATGTAAGTTAGAGAACAAAGACACTGTGCAAATGTTGTTTTCAAGCTTTATTTATTTCATAAACAAAAATTCAACCAAAATAGGTGAACTATCTAACAAAACAGAGTCAAGCACTAAAATATCAGAAAACACGAGACAGGAGAAAAGACCAGGACACAGGAAGACTGAGTGGCAGGAGTCCTCATCCTCTTTTACCTTTAGCACTCAATTACTTCCTGTTTTAGAAATGTTTACATCCATAATTACCATGTGTTGAACAACACCCACGGCACTGACGACAAAGTAACGAAGCAGTGATATTAAATAACATTAAATGAGTTATCTAACCCTTAAACATGCAGTCATTTTGACCTCTGAGCGTCAGTATTGGGCACTGTTGTTGACATCAAGGAAACATGGATGGTACACGAGGGTCAGTTTTACTTTTGAGTCTGCAGCTGGTAGTTTAAATAGTTTCTTTAAGCAGGAATTACTGACCCATTTCATCTTGAGCCATTACACAGAAACAAGAGTGCAGACCATTTCCTGTCATTTTTTACTGGAGCTGTTTTATTTCCAGACAGCAACATATTAGCTCTAGTTCCTGGTAAGATAGCAGCTAAGCCTTCTTTTTCTCACTGTGCTGTTAAATTTAAAGTTAGAAGAAAGTGCTGCACAATATACAGCAGTGTTTATCATTACCAACATGAGAGTTGGAGGTAAACAGGTCATGTTTTGCCCTTGATGAAAGGAACATTATGAACTCTGAAACGATCAATCCAGGATCAGAGTGTGATATTTCAGATGTTCAGCGATGGATTGATTCATCTGATTTAAGACCCGTCACAGCTAACAAGTATTTTGAAACTGCAAAGAGTCTGTTAACATTTGTTTTAATTCTGTAAAATGAATCTATGTAATATGACAGCTGAAAACACGTTAGAGGTTTCCTGCGTTTCTAAATCTGTGTCTACCACGCATTACTGAAATACTCCAGACCTGGATTGAGGCATTAATGTGAAACCTGTAATACACAGTAAGTCAACAGTACCACCCATTTCATATTAAACCACACAATTTAGCTCCAGTAAATAAAAATAAACAAACACAAACAATCGACAAACAAGACCTGGTTGAAAGTGTAACAGAAGTACATTCGAATACTTGCAGTAACATTGGGTTATTATAGTACTGTAGACAATAAATTCTATATAACAAGATGGTGTTGGTAGGGTATTTTACAGTGGGTTCGTAGCATATCTAAATAAAACCTGAATTACAGTTCCCATTCCCAGCTGGCAGCAATGCTCTGCAGGGACCGGTAATATGAATGCTGGATGATGTAACAATGTAGAGTGTACATTTTCATTTACAAAAGCATTTTTACACGATAGTGCACTATCCAGCACAATCAATCCAAGTAATGTCAAGTATTTGAATGACTTAGGACTCTTTCCCGGGTCTGTCACAAATAAATATATTCTATATATATATAGCGACAAATCTCACAGTAGCCAGGTTTATAAATCTATCTGTCCATTACTGAAGAATCTGTATAGCTTAGTATCTGCGGAGTGTGAGTCACTTAAATACTGTTTAGACTGAACAGGAAAAAAGGACAGGTTTTAGCTCTATAAAATTTAAATGGGACAGTGGCTTTTGTGTATAATTATTAGAAAATACCTTGTATGTCGACCTTAGAGCAACATCAGAAACTTTTTGGAACAACAGTATTGACAGCACAACTCATTTACAGCATAATAATAATAATAATAATAATGATAATTAGAATTCATTCAACTCATCAACAGAAAAAGGGATTGCTAAAAGTGTCCTGTCACTTTTCAATGGGTCCTCATTGAAAATCAGACCTCTAGCCCCCTCTTATTAAGGAATCTAGACACTAGAGGAGATACCAAAGGATTCATGATGACAAAGTAAGCTTGTCTGGTTAGTTTGTACAAAGTTCTACAGCAAATGTTCAAGCCTGGAGCCCAAAACAACCCTTAAAATTCAAACTGTAGTGCACAAAAAATAAGCACGCTATCTCACCTTATACATGCACTGGAAGCTCAGGACACTGCTTAGTAATGCCATTGGATCCTTTAATATCTACTAAAAAAACGAGTCTGGAAGGTAGAAAGAGTTCAGAGATCGCCTCTGAATCTGACAATGGTGGGCATGGTCTTTTGTGTGGGCCATCGGAGGCTGTGAGGCTGAAGAGGGTGACGAGACAGGGTTTGGAAAGATGGCAGAGGTCGAAAGGGAGCAGAGGGTTGAGGGTAGCCCTGGTTTCTACACATTCGTCCGACACTTGGGGAAGATGGGTCCTCCCTCAAGCCTTCTCTTTCTTACTGTGGATGGAGAGACACGGGAAGAAGAGAGAGAATGACAGATGAAGAACAAAGAGGTGAAATGATGAGAGGGAAGGAGGAAGGAAGGGGGGGAAAAAGAAGAAAGAAACAAATTAGAGAAACAAAATGCATGAAGGTGGTTCATCAGCTAAAGCACAGCAAAGGTCTTATTTGCATTACATAAGGAAAAGCAAAGAGGCAACTGAAAGAAGGTCAGACTGAGAGATTAACAGTTACAGCACTTTGTCTTTGAGTGGCAGCAAGTGGCTTTAGCAGGAGCTCTTGAAGGAAAAAACGACATAAGACAAAAGGTAAGACATTGATAAGAGCAGGGCTGGATTATCCCTCTAACAGTAGGGTAATGACAGGTGTTACCAATGATACTAATTAAAGTCTCATTCCATTAAGTGTAGCAGAGCCTTTCCAGCGAGCCAACATGGACAATAGCAGCACAATGACTCTGATTGACCTGAATGGAACGGATCCCTAATCAGTATTATTGGTATCACCTGTGTTAAGCTTACTATTTCGTGTCATTATTGCACTCCTATAACATTGTTTCACTCATGGTGGACAATTTAAATAAAAACATTGACGCAGTAGAACTAGATAGATTAATTTGAATCCATGCATTCTTCTACCATGTCAAACTCGGTGCCTATATTACCCACAATGTAACGCAACAACAGTTCGGTGGAGATTCGGGTCATTTATACTAGCACAACAGCTGTTATTTAACCTCGAGCTGCTGGCCTCAAGTAGGGATGAGGAGTGGGCTACAGAGATCTGGTAAGCTCTTCTTTTTCAAACTTAACTGATGTTGACTCAAGTGACATCACTTGAGGCAATGTATCAGCTTTCGCGCACCTATCTGGAGTTTTACAACTTTTTTTCACATACACCTGTGAACAGACATGTGTGTAAAATCAGCGCAATTGCCCTTTCAGGCCCCTATCCTTTCACTTTATACTGTAATTTAATGGTGCATACAGTATTAACAAACAAATCTGCAATTTATCAAATTTTCACACAGTGAACCTGGAGAATTTGGAGTCAGTGAGGGTTTAGGGCCCCAGGTCAGTTGTCCACTTTGCCAGGTTAACAATCCAGCTTTGGATAAGAGCAGTGTTTAAGTAAGAACAAGAGAGGACAGAGGTTGAGCAGAGGAGGCTGAATGCCTTTGGATGATGCAGGAACAGTAGAAACAGACCAAGAGCAGGGAATGATAAAATTAGGAAAAAGGCCAAGGAGAAACAACAATACAACGCAGAATGCAGACGCAGAATACAACAGAAGACCATGAAGGAGTCTGCAGCTTCACAGTGGAGCCAAAATGAGATGCCACTCCCAAAAACTACTGTAGCAAACAAAAGAAGAGGGCAGTTTCATTCTGTCGAACCAGAACCAGTGGATGCTGTTGTCTTGCTCAGTCATAGAATATATGACGAAAAACTGAGTTGGAAAGTTAATTTTATCTGCTTCTTCTTTCTTCTTCTGTATTTCAGAAGTGCAGGTTACTTATTTCTTTTATTTATTACTTAGTAATATTTCATGTCAGGTTTCATCAATCACATTTACGTTTCATTATTTTATTTCTGTTGAGGAAAAGTTGAGAACTCTTTGATTTATTCAATTTTCCAGACTTGGACTACTACAAGAAATAATGGCAACAAAAATATATTCTGACTATGATCTGGACTAGAGAGCAACAACAGCTAAATGTGGGAGGCACTGTCAGTGGTGTTTTCAAACCCGAGTTCACTAGAAGATGAAAAGAGAAGATGAAAAATGCTGAAGCAAGAGTTACTCCTAGAGGAGTACAACAGGTGGTGGCAGCGCTTTCCGGTGGTCTGGACAAGAACCAGGTGATGTTGCCAGAAGAGTTGCAAGGCTGAGCGGCCAAACAGTGCGGTGTTTGTATTTCTGTTTGGTTTTTTGTTTTGTACTTAGTCTTGGACTTGAACTTTTTCCCGAAGGCCCTCTCCAGCTCAGGGACAGACAGAGTGAGGGTGAAGGAGCCGTCCGACTCTGACCTGACGACCCGGGCTTAAAGATGACGAGGGGGGAGGAAAACGTTGTGACAAGTTTATGACACATATACTTAACTTCAAGTGGTTTGTGAGACAACACAAGCAGACAATACAACTATTAGCCCATAAAACGTGTCTGAATGTAATGATAATTCTGGACTTATCCAAAATCGCCTACTAACCTTTGGTGGAGCCAAAATGGCATCATCACTCTTAACCTCCCTCTCTTAAGTTAAAACTGGCTTTCAGATTATGTTCAAGAGCAAACACACTCACACACAAACTTACCAAGTACTAATTTAATGAAGTGGTTACAATTTAGCTGAGAAATAATGTGTGCATATGCATAGCAGGAACCATTTCGTCCACCAGTTTCAGTTTGTTCTCTCTCTCTCATGCACAGACTCTTTTCTTAGCGTTGATGTCATGACTTAGGAAGCAGCTGTTTTGATTGGCTGAGGCTTCCTGGCCGTACTACTGAGTTACCGGCCGATGATATCACTCTGGTTCTTTTATTATAGTCTGATTAAAGTAGAAACCCATGGAGATATAGTGAAGATAAAGTGTCAGCACTGACGCACGTAACAACATATACTGCCAAATGCAACACTACTGAAACTCAAGTGTATGAGTTACATAACTAACTAAAGCACTGTGAGGCGAATCAGTCATCAAATACATTATGTATTACAAATGATATCAGTTTATGTCCAGTTCATGAACTTTTGCCATGTTCCAGATTCAGCTTCTCAGAGCAGGTTTAAAATATGTGTTTTTATCTGTTTTAAATGCGTGTGTGTGTGTGTGTGTGTGTGTGTGTGTGTGTGTGTGTGTGTGTGTGTGTGTGGTGTGTAACCCACCCAGGTCGTTGTTGTTCATCATGGCATTGGAGCCTCGGAGGCGCGGGCCCTGCTGGGTGAAATGATATCCAAACTTCAACAGCGTGGTGTTTTTCTCTAGCATGCTGGCTATCTCCATCTCCACCTTGTTGCCTAAAGGCTGGCTCTGGAGTTTGGAGAGAAAGGGGGGAAGAGAGAGAGAGAGAGAGAGAGAGAGAGAGAGAGAGTGAGAGAGAGAGAGAGGGGAGAGAGAGAGAGAGAGTCCATGGAGTAAAGGGGTGAAGGAGGAGATACAAGAGGTGATCAAGAGATGAATTAAAAAGCAAATAAAAGAAGTTAGGTGAAAGGCGAGATTCTCCACAAACTGAGTGGCACTACAGATAAGGTGCTGATCTCCCTGGCAATAGAGGATGAAGTGGCAGGGGGTAACACACTTTTTGGGGGGTTTTACATAATTTCAGTCAATCAGTGAATGGAGTCAAATGGCAAAGGGAGCTAGGAGAAAGATGGGAGATGCAGTGGAGAAAAAAGTCTCTGAATCACTGAACAAGTTGAACTAATGAGCGAGCGGTGAGTCACACATGTACAACTATGCAGTATGACACATCACAATGCAGCCAGAGGGCATTAGACTGAAGTGGCAGAAGATGGTCTGTGTACACTACCTGACACACATACCCACACACATTTTTATGCATGGTACGTATATACAAGTGTGCATGTAGTCTCTGCAGTTGGTACCTGATTGTCAATCTTGAGTTCCTGTAGTGTGGTGTTACTTTGCAGTGACTCTATCAGGGACATGATTCCCATCCCTGTAATGAAGTTGGACTCTACGTTCAGACTCTTCAGCATCGTGTTCACCTTCAACATCTCTGCCAGTGCCTGAGGAAACACACAACACATACTGTGTCTTTAATTCACTCACTGCTTTGCCAAAATGAGGTATACATGAACATAAAGTGTCTTTGTGGGGCTAAATGTCTTATTGGATAGTAAAACAGTGAGAAGTGGTAGAGGGATGATATGCAACACCAGTTATTAGGAAGATCTAAACCCTACTGCATCATTTTTTTATAAAAGAGGATTTGCATTAAGATAAAAAAGATTCATAAGTGTTAATAATAGAATCATACGGTGAACAGTGTAACCCACAGATCAGTCAAACTAATCCAGACCATTAAATGAAAAACTAATTTATCTTGTTTGACCTGGACATCAGAATACTGGAGAAATAAATAAGGTAAAATATATATAAATACATATATAGTCCGTTTTAGAATTGATTTTAAACTTTTGTTGTTTGTTTTTAACACCATTAACGGCTCGGCCCCTCTTACTTGTCGAGATTTTAACTTTTCGCAATTGTGGCAGAGCCTTGCGCTCTTCAGGTCAGCTTCTGTTAGAAGTCCCTAGGTCCAGACTTAAACAGTGGGGCGATCGTTCTTTGCTGTCGCTGCTCCTACACTGTGGAACAAACTGCCCCCTGACATTCGTACCACTACTGATCTCGGCCTTTTTAAATCGAAGCTTAAGACCCACTTTTTTAGATTAGCTTTTAATTCTGAATAGGACAGTACTGTCTCTTAGGTGTACTCTTTTTATCTGCTCCTTTCTGTGCATTTCTGGAAGGCTTTTAATACCCTGCAGTGCTGCAGCACTTTAAATTGTATTTGTATGTTATATATGTGTTATGTACTGTTTCATGGCTCTGTTGTAAAGCACTTTGGGTACCTTTGCTATTGTAAAGGGCTATACAAATAAACTTGATTTGATTTGATTTGATATATAGCCTGCTTGGACCAACAATGTGTGTCTGATGTTTTTTTTCTGCAAAAATTACATTAAGGTTCTTAAAAAGTTATCTACTCCTACCTCATTTAATATTGCTTTCTACAAATATACAAATTTGGTTTTCCTGCTGGACACACTTTACTGTAAGGTCCATTCTCAGTGTATGTGAGCTGGTGGCTTCAAGTTTCTGCTTCATATAAGTTGCATACTGGACTAGGGTTGACTTCTAAATAATTTGTGATGTCCCAAATCATGTTCGTAGACCCCGCCCCTTAAAATCAGATTTTCAGTGAGCACAGAGAAACTTTCCACTATCAGCAGATGAATGTTAAAACATTCTTCTATTGTCAATCTCTGCACATACATCATTCTGCATAGTGAAGTTCAAACATCCAACTGTAGGAACAAGAAGAAAAACTGATTTGAGTGGAGGGGAACTTTAATGTTTCAATAGTAACTTACAAATGCTACAGGGTCGTTGCTCCTGGTTCCTACAATACTAAACCTCTCCACCACAGTGTTCTTCATCAGAGCCTCAGCATACGCCTTCAGAGTCTTGATGGGGATGTTCTAGTTTAAGAAAAACACCAAAACATTACAGGTCATTAAATTTTATATGTTTCATTCATCACTTATTCTCGGATCCAAGAAAGCGAAAGGATTTTTTTTCATTGAAGTGTTCATGTTTTTATTTCAAAAGGTTTCTGTTTGCATGATTTAAGTCACTTAAACTGTGATTTACAGTTAACGGGATTTATCTTAACTGCACGTCTGAGGCTACTAAATATTAAACTATAATTAATAGAGTAACAGATGTTTCATATAATAAATAAACAAATAAATCAAAATCAAAGCCTGTTGTTTTTGAGTTTAAAAATGCAGCTCATATCCCCCCGTTATACACAACAGAATATGCACACACAAACACGCACGCACACACACACACACACACACACACACACACACACACACGCACACGTACCCTGATGTTGTTGAGGTTGACTTCAACCAGGTCAGGGTCATTCCTCTTTATTCTCAACAGGGTCTCTTCTACGTCAGTGGAGTTGGGCTCTTCGTCTGGGACTGGTTTATACTGGGTGCACTGGATCACACCTACAAAACATTTATAGAACACACTCTCACGTACAGCAGGCGACTGATGCTGTTAAACTAGCATTACTGTGGGAGCAACACTCATTTAAACATGCATATTTCTAAATGCACTTCACTGACGACAGTTTAATCTGGACAGTTGATTGCTTGAGACTGTTAACATATCTATCTGCAGTTCTTGCTAAACGGATTAGATAAGACATTTTCATAATATAGGTAATCATCACAGTCAACATGGGGGTTCTCACTTCTCAGTTAATCTGAACATGTATTTTTTTTGCCATGCAAGTATATTGTAACTTTCACTACCACAGCAGCAGATGTGATATTGAGTGTGAGGGATTACATAACTCACACTCACGCAAGCTTTAAGTCCCTTTCATATTCATTTTGTGCAGTGGTGAAATAAAGATAAAAAACTGGACATGTAAAGTACATATTGTTTAGGTGCACTGTGGAAATAAGTGTGTATTTTATTTTATGCATAATTTTTGTCTGAGATTTAGTAACTTATATAATCAGCCTGGACCAAGATATTGGTCAGCATATATAGTTTCTATAGTCTACAGTAAGAATAATATTAATTACAGTATATTATGGATTTCCCTTCAAACGTGTAGTGTTAGATTAGCCAAAAATCGAAAAATTTGCTTTTGAAATACAGATCTTCATTAAATCCATGTAAAATACTTCTCAAACAATAACAGTCTCATTGTTCAAACACTTTTTTATGTACCATTCTGTGTATCAGTACTGAAAACAAAGCAAGCGACAATTTCAGCCGGCCAATCACAGGTTTATAGCTGGCTCTCTTTATAAGAGACGGTCATATTTGGAAGTTCAGCCTCTGTCTCTGTTTAGAGCTGGAGGAGAATCTATAGGATGAGCCACCATGCAAGATAAACAATGGCCTAAAAACGCATGTGTGTATTTGTGTGTGTGTGTGTGTGTGTGTGTGTGTGTGTGTGTGAGATGGGGGGATAAAATTAATATCAGAATACCATAGTTTACACTGTGTAGTGGAAGATGAACCGATGAATCCTCTGTGTTATTCCTGGAAGAGCTATAGGACAATGTATGAGTATCTGTATACACTTAGTTTTATCCACTTATTGACGCAGTTTGAATCTGTGTAACTATATTTGTGCATGCGTTTAGCGCATCCATCATCTTGGGTAAAATAAACCAACATTCTGCCAACATGAGATCATTTCATTTGATTCCAGTCCAAGGCAACTCACTTCAAAATTTTTCTTAAATGAGGTGATATTTTCTTTAAACTACTCGATCTGCTTTATTTTAGGATACTTTTACTTGTTTCTTGAAAACCCCTGCACCAAATGTATAAGTGATGTGAAAATAGGTTTTGCAAATAGGACTCAGTTATATAAGTTTTAGTACGTGTGTGAGCGTGTGCGTACTGTTCAGGCCTTGCTTGTTGACTATGGTGCTGCTGGCCAGGGCTTCATAGTACTGCTGGTTACTCATCAGGGTGTGCATACCCAGGATGGCTGGAAGACAGCAAGAAGACTGGATGAGGATGGAAAAAAACGAAGGGAATGAACAGAGAGAGAGAGACGAATGCTGAATACGAGTCAAACGATTTCATGATTGTCTAGTTACAGCATACATACAGTGGACCGTCATGCTAATACAGACAGCACATCAGCACTTGCAGCATCACAAGTAAGTCAAACCTGGCACCGTCATCAAGCAGCTGTCAAGTCTCAGGTACAGCAGTTTCAGTGGTAACATGTATTGGCTGATGTTCTACCCTCTGTTGGCTGACTACAGATTGGTGTCATACTCCACCTGCCGCATCATAACTAAACAGGATGTCAAGGTATTAGCCTGTGAAGAATTTCAACTTGAGGAATCCTACTTGGGTCCTCTGGCAGCAGTAAATCTGAAATATGTTTTCAGAGTGAGCAGCTGCACTGAGGTCGCTATAAAAGAAAAACTTTAGAGAGAATTATCACCTCATCTGTTTGTCAGAGAGATCGAGAGCAGAGGAACAGTTTGCAAAGACATAGGGAGTTTGGGTACACAAGCTGCTCTTAGTAAAAGTAGGGGAAGTTACCTCCAAGGACTTGTTGTGCTGCTAAAATATTTCTTATTTTCCAATATGGCTGTAAGCAGCAGTATTTTTTGATGATTAATTTCTTCATTCTAATGCAGGTAGTGGAAACTCTCGTAGGGTGGTTAAAACAAAATATGATTACATACTGTATTATATATTATTGTAGTTTTTAGAGTTATGATCTTTTAACTTACCACAAGTGAGCTTCAAATGATGGCTTTATAATGCTAATTTGTATCATAATGCCTTAAAACTATTCATGATATTTAAAATTCATGTGTTTTTCACAGGTTTAAGAAAAAACAAGGACTATAAGATCCATCTGGATAACTGTTTTCAGATCATCAAGTATGTTAAAAGTTTGTACATGCAGCAAAATATTTGCCACAGTAATGACATGAAAACTCTGCATGTACTGCATGCACATTACAGACATCTGACCGTCCGAATGTGTCGCAGAATCAAGCTGCATGGTTTTTCTAAATGTGTCCTTAACACAAGCTGACAAGACGACAGAGGACGAGAACTGCTCCATGCAAACACTGCGTGCAGTCTACAGATACCCTGGGTGTTGTTCAGCTAGCGAACAGAGATATCCAGCAGGAATGGAGGAGGTGGAGGAGATGGAGGGACTGATGGAGGGATGAAGGGGAAGGGTGGAGGGAAAGTGGAAGGAGCGCTAGAGGAAATGGAGAAGATCTGGATTAAGGAAAAGTAAATTAATGAAGGGGAAGTCGAGACCATGATTGTGTTTATGCTGATTAGTGAGAGAAGATGAAGATGAAGAATAATTAGACACCTGCACTTTAGCGCAGATCCAGTTTATGAATATCATTAATTCAGATGCTTTTATGTATGTGAGAGTGAAAATGATAGAAACCTGAAACCTTTAAGCCTTACGCATACAGCGCATGTGACTGTGAGGAGATGTGAGTGTTTGTGATTATGTTACCTGCGATATCACACAGTTCAGCATCAGAGGCACTAGCCAGGGCTTCTTCTAGCTCCGGCTCCAGAGTCACACTCTCTATGATGGGATCCACCCTCTTTTTGGGCACCCAGGCTTTCCCTACAACATGAGAGGAAAGATTTAATACATACATTACAAGTACTACACACTCACACAGGTGTTTTCACTCTGGATAGTTAGATCAGGTTGAAGTTGGGTGGAGCCTAGTTAGTGCTGGGTGGTATGACCAGATATTTGTATCACAGTATTTTCTTAAGATTCTGGTGGGTGCACGGTGTATCACGGTTTGTCTTTTTGCATGACTGGGCCTTTATAAAGGTTTATAGTGTTGTATAAACACTATACACTTACAGTATGTAAGTATTCAAGGAGACATTTCTCAAATATGGAGGAACAAATCTGTACAAATGTTTTTCATGTAACAAAATATGACAAAACAAATGGCCTTTTTCACAGTAGATATTTACTTGTCGTAGAAGGAAAAGCACAGGTGTTACTAATAACATTAACAGTGGCTTTGTTCTATTTAAGTGACCAAGTAAGCTTTGACAGTGAGCCAGCGTGCACAATACCAGGACACTGAAACTGAAAAATCTCCACTCATGAATACAGCTTGGTAGTTAATGTGAATGCTTTTTACAGGTCGGGAACTTGACATTATGGTAACTTTGATATGACATGAACACGGTATCAGTGCTGCACAGACAGTTCAACTGGTGCAATTTATAACCATGACAGATAAATCACTGTCAGGGCCTTTTACCGTTATATAGGCTGACAAACAATCTTTAGGTCAGTATGAGTTACAGAAACAATCTGCTGAATATACAGCAATAGGTGTTTCAAATGTAAATGTCAAACTAAGGTGATCTCTGACCAGGCCTCGTCACAACCAGCTCTCTTACATAACACAGCTGAGCCGTGTGAGGAGAGTATCCCTTCATCACGTCACACCTGACTACAGACAAAACGATGACAGCCTGTAAAGACCCAGAGATTTGTGACTTTACTGATAGGTCTGCTTGTGTGTGTGTGTGTGTGTGTGTGTGTGTGTGTGTGTGTGTGTGTGTGGTCAGCTCCTCGAGTTTCAGCCAGACATTTTCTGACCCACGTACAAACACAGGCTGCCGGCAGCGGGGTGGCAAGATGTTGCCCAAAGTGCTGAGCAGCTTTTTGAAAGTCACATGTGTTGTCTCTCGGCCCCAATCTTCCACTTCTTGTTTAGCACACTAAAAATAAAAAATAAATCAACCTATCTCGTGCCCAGCCATGGAGCAAACTGTAGTGGCCTTTGTCTCAGTGTGAGTGCAGGGTGAGTTAAAGGGAAGCAATGACAGACAGCTTTGAACGGCTGTCTCTGCACTCACATGCTCTGTTTTGCAGCTAACTGGAGTATCACAATTAATTCTGTTCTGAATCTTTACGTATTTAACTGTCTCATGATATATTGTTACATTCCAACGTGACAGCAGGGAGACCTAGAGTTTCAAATAGAGATGTTTGGTATCTCTCACTATCCATCACACACCTCTGTGTCCACACTAGACTGGTACTGGCTTGCTGACAGGCCTCACAAGGCCTGGTGAAGAGTGGTCTTGTGGAACCAATCACCAGTAAATAAATTCCTCCTACTCATGGATACCTGAGATTCCCATGACAGACCTCTGACTTTAGAGTTTCCTGACACACCTTTTAAGGTTTGTGGCTTAGTTTAGGCCATAATTAATTTGAGAGTTAATCTGAATGTCCTCCAGCATTGAGCAAAATATTTAAACTGGTACATTATTTTTAAACTTCAGCTCACAACTCACTTATCTCTTTAGGGAAACCAGACAGTGCTTACATCCAATGTTCTTATCATGTGTCCACTTGATAAAAACAATGCTTTCAGCCACACAAAGCCACCTTTTCATCTTTAGTATGGAAAAATGTGTTCTTACCTCTCTTCTCCCCTGTGAAGGGCACCAAGTCTTCTTGTTCAGGATGTTCTTTTGCCTGTTTCTCCAGGTGTGCCAGCAGGTTGTCTCTCTGAAACGTTCCTGTCGGAGCTTTCTTTGTCTGGTCCTTCTGTCGCATCCCAGCTGGCAACAATGCATTCTAGAAAAGGAAGAGAAATTACATAATTTAAAAGGACTGGCACTGGGCAGTCTGAATTTGAATGCGTGGCATCTGTAGATAAAAATGGCTCATTCTAAGGTAATGAAAGCACAATGATTCCTATATTCAGGTGATTATATACTAATGAAAACATACCTATGAATGAATGAATGAAGAATAAATAAGAGAATAACACATCAAACATAAGAAATAGGTAAATGCAGAACACATTAGTTACTGGTAAGTCTAAATTATACCTTTTTAAAGAGGGAGAATACACTTTTCATACATTTTGCAGGTATCCATTAACACAACTATCAAGCCCAACACTGATCCGTATTATTTGCACTGCATTTTTTTTTTTAAACAACTACAGTATTAAAGCAAAGTGACATAGATATAGAGATGGTGATACAGTATCCTTTCTCTGGTTAATGTAACTCCCACATTCCCTATCTCTACCTCAGCCCAACACAAGACCAAGACATTTCCCAGAGCTTTGCTGCTCACCATGTTATTTTCAACCTAAAGCAACATTCAAGCTCAAGCTCTTACAAGTGCTACTTATAGCTTCATATCTTATCGGTCCTCTCAGCACTCAAAAGCCTCTCAGTCTTCTGTCTCCCTCACCCTCTCGCTTTCAAAGAATAATATTGCCAAAACAGCAAACAATTTTCAAAAACATACCAAACAATTCACACAGTCAGAACACATTTACACACTTGTTTGGTTTGAAATGTACTCTTTGGAAGTCATCTCCCATTCAGTCCTTCCAGTAGTGGCCCATAAATGTTTACATGACTTACAGCAGTATTTATAGTATATCCGGGAATATATCACCCCATCACTGCCAAGCTTTGTCACACGTTCTTTCAGCTGTAGATAACAGGCACACTCCCTGTATGTTATTTTTACCAGCATGAGACTGTCTTTCTCTCCTGTCCCTTCTAACTGTACTTTCCTCTGTCATTCCACCCCTACCTCATGTACACTCTACTGTATCGCTCTCTCTTCCTCCCAGCACCCATGAGCACATGAATGTAACAGCACATGCCTCCATGAACAAAGACTGAGGCTAACTTTTAAGACATGAATGACTAAATATTCCTTTTCAACTTACAATACTGATTTTATTTGTTTTTGGGCAGAAACAAGCTGTAAACGTAACACTAGTATGTTATAACCTTAAAAAATTGATTATGGCAAACTTAGCAGACAACTCTAGGGGAAAATATGTCGAAGTTTATCTGCTAATTGCTCTACTATTTTTACTAGCTAGTTCCTAACTTTGTTAGCTGTTTGGTGCTGGGCAGATAGCATACAGTAGGTCATCTGAGCCTTTTTGCTGAATAAAGAACTCCTGCTGCTGTTGTAAAAACAGTTGAGTTGATACTGAACCAAACAGTGAAGTTGCAGGCCATAAAACCAAAACAATGCGCTGAAAGAGACTAAAATGCTCAGTAACAATATAAACTAGTGCAGCTTAAAATGTCCAGTGTGTAACATTCAGGAGGATCCATTAGCAGAAATGGAATATAATATTCATAGCTATGTTTTCGTTCATGTTTTTCACGTGTTTTGCAAACACTGTAGTTGCTAGGGTTGAAGTAGGGAGTTGCAACTACACCGCTAGATGGCACTAAATCCCACACACTGGACCTTTTTACTTTAGGTTGAACTTTCCATGATTTGAAAAAAAACAAAAAACATCAGAAATCTCAGTGTTCTAGTAACAGCCACCAGGATGAGACCATGGTGTCTTAGAGAACGTAAACAGTATGAACCAGTCCAAGTTGTAGTTTGACATTAGATGACTAAGGCAGTAGAACAAAAACACAAATGTTCTCTTGATGAATGACAATAAATGTATCTTCCTGCAATCACAGTACAGCTGGCAGACATGCTGTTTTTTCCCAACATGATGAAACTTTTTCAAAGGGTTACTGGAACTGATGTGAGAAGCCTTGCTGGGAAGGTTTCAGTGTGTTTCGAAGCACAAGGGCACTTAACTGTTGTGTAACAGGTTACCCTAATAAACAGGCACAAACAAGGTAAGCATGCACGCACTGCCTCTCACTGTTTCTGCTGTTTACGTCATTAGAGTCCCTCCGGTCAGTCACTGCTGGCATCAGTCTCTCCCACACACACACACACACACACACACACACACACACACACACACACACACACACACACACACACACACACACACACACACACACACACACACAATGAGTACTGCACATTATGCCCTTCCAGTCATTCTCTTGGCATTGAGGGGGATTCCAGTTTCTTTTGGAGCAGTTAGACATTCATCAGAAAACTATTACAACTGCTGTCATCCCCTCGACCCATGATGCATCACTGAGGGCGTGAAGCTGGCTGTGGATGCATAAAATGCAGAAATAAACACATCATAAAGAAACAACAGAAACTAAACAAAAGTGTAACTGATGTACTGTACCTACTGTAGCACAATGACTTACATGATATGCCACCATGTGTCCCATAGACTTAATACAAATAGAGAAATACTGTAAATGATAGGGAAGAAGGTGACTAAACAGGAGCAAAGCTAGTATTAATAGAAAATCAGTCAGCGGTTCAGTTTCACTTCAGCCTTAATAACCAATACTCAGTTTGTTTTGTCCAACCAACAGTCCAAAAAACAAAATAATTCCATTTATAATGATGTAAAACAGTGAGAGTCTCATATCTGAGAAGCTGGAACCACCAATTTTGGGCTTTTTTGCTTCATTAATGACTTGAACAACGAATAGATACATTTTCTCTCAGTCGACATACATATTGTGTCAACCAAAGACTTTTTGGCGATTATATACATTCCACACATCCTCTCTTGGTTTGATTACAGTCAGAGAACATAAACTCTTACCTCTAACGGTCACATTGGACAGTAACACTTACTGTCTGTAGTTTGGATTGGCTGGTTTTGTCTACACAACATCTAAAACACAGTCCATCAGCTGCCACTCTATCAATATTGTGGAAACCGTTTAACTGCCATTTAGTCATGAGTATGTTCAAGTGCATTAAAACACACTTAACACAGTTTTACTGGCTAGAAACAGAAATTACCACCAATTCAGCTGAAAACACAGACAAGTAGTTATAGTAAAAGCATACTGCAGTATAGGTGGCTCTGTTAAGCCTGTATAGCCACATAACTCTCCACTGGCATCAACAATGTCACAGAAACTCCTCCATATGGAATTTAAATTATAAACTTACATCAGGATCCAGCTCCTCTAATTCATCCTCTAATCGCTGCAGCTCTTCCTCCGACAGCTTCTTCAGCAGCTCGTCCTCGTCTATGTCCCTGTACTTCTCCATCTCCTTCCTCATCACCGACATGATGGACAGCACACCTGGAAACACATAATGCCACTTCAGCTTGACATGAATACAAACTCTTAAAAAGAGTGGTGGTTAGATTTTCTGTTAAAGTGGATTACATGATATTAAATATCCACAATATTGACTGGAATGGAATGATTTCATCCAGTAGAATAAAATTAAGATTTGGATAGAAACTACATATTTTCGCCAACTTTCTTCATGAAATTGTGCTTTCACATTGTCTTTCAATCAATATCACCTGCTTGAGGTGATATAATGAACAATTAAACCAAACTTTTACTGCAACCATCATTATCTCGTCTAGTATTCTATGTTCAAGGTAAATTTATACTGTACAAACACACAAAGGGATCTGAGAGGTATTTAAATTGTTCCCTCACCTCAATAACCCCTTGAGACGAGAGACAAGATGTAGGAGATCAGGATCCTGCAAGACCCTGGGCTTTGAGAAGAAAATGTATATCTGCAGATGGAAAGAGAAGAGAGCACTTATACAACTGATGCTGAAATAACATTGTGTTGACTTTAATGCTCAACTGCCAAACGACAAAAATCACAATGTCCCTTGATGTTGCTCTTTGGCATTAAAATGAACTGTACTCACCTCAACGACCCCCACTTTAGGGGTAAAGTGACAGCAAAGGCAGCCAAGTGCCCGTAGCGCTCCTGGGAAAGAGAGGAACCTGGAGGAGGCACAGGCAGGGGGAAGAGGGGTTAATAGCTCTTAGAATTAAAAAGCACTAAATACACTAAGTGATCTATGGAGAAAGAAATTAAGCCTCATATTCCACTGCTTGATTTCCTGTTTCTCATTTTCCTGCCTGTTTCTTCCTTAAGTAACTGGGTACAGGTATGGAAGGCTTAGAAATAAACTTTGGTTTTTCATTCTTTATGTCATGTTGTGAAAAACTGTTTTGCAGTTTTTTGAGTAACTCCTCTGAATACCATATCTGACATACCTGTGTAAGTACCTAACCTTTGCAAGCCAGCTGATGCTGTTTCACTGCAGATACTCTGAAGATTAATTTTTCCATTTCACATTCCTCTTACTATTCAAATTACATGTGGTAGTGTTTGGCTTGCTAGTAAAAGATTATTTTCAAGTTTCCTGATAGGGCAATTTGTATCATTTTAACTACACTGGATTTTTTAAGCTGAATTTCATCAGGGTAGCTCTTAAGTTTGATATTTTGAGAAATACATGTACATTTAGTCGCTTTTTTGCCATTTTATAACACTGTTATGTCTGTACATGTAATATGAAGCTACATCCAGCAGAGCCAGTTAGCTTAGCTTAGCATAAAGACTGAAAACAGTCAGAAACAACTAGCCTGGCTCTGTCCAAAGTCAACAGAATCCACCAACAGGGTTATGTACGGGACTATTTCTTGTCAGTAACTTCCTGGAATCTGCCCTGGTTGCCTGGCAACTGCTCCCAGCCAAGAAATAGGCTGCCACTGAAGTTCCCATAATACAAACAGACATTATTTTTACACTTCAGTTTTTGTACAGATTATAACAAAGACGATATACTGTGTTAGTTAGTGAGCTTTAGAAATGCTGGTTGGTGGATTTTGTTACTTATAGACAGCGCCAGGCTAGCAGTTTCCCCTTGTTTCCAGTCTTTGTGCTAAGCTAAGCTAACTGGCTCTTAGTTGTGGCCCTATATTTAACATAATGATATGAGTGGTTATTTCCCAGAAAATCCAGCTATAATTATTGGTGGGAGATGTGGATGATGTTGAAAATGTTGGTATTGGTCCATAAATGACTACATGGAGTGATTTATGGCAGCACCTGGTGGTAATGAGGTTCTACAAGAGTTTTGGCCATTGTAGTGAGCCCATTTCACAATCAGTTAATTTAAGACAAAATGGCAACCTTGCCCTGTCTATCTATGACTTTTTTTTCAGTACACTGTACACTGGTTTACATGCCACAACAACACTGACTGACTTTCACTTGAATAAAAATGTTTTCTAATACTCATTTTGAAAATGGATACCAGGACAGAGACGGTGGAAACCCTACACAAGGCTGTTCTGACTGTGTGCTTGGTTGGTAACTGGTGAATATACTTTACCTGCCGATGTTCACAAATCACCTCAACAATTATGGTTAGGCGACTAACATGTTCAACTTACTGCAGTGGCAAAAGTATATGGACAAACGGCAGACAAGCCTTCACCTAGAACGACAACTTTCCTCCTGTTCTGTCTAGACTAACGCTCCATTTCCTCACAGATCTATATCCTGTTGCTGACCCTTCTGCTATGGATCACTGTCAGAAGTGCTGCTCTGCTTTTTTTCCTCAAAGCACTCTGCAGAAAAGTATAAAAGTGACCCCCCCCCAGATAGACCAAATATCTTGTCCGGAAAAGTGTTCTTCTCATGCTTTCCGTCTCCGCTGACAGTGTGGACAGACTGGAGGTCTGTTTTCCTCTCTCTAATTCACTACATTTGACGACAGAGTCTTGGCTGCAGGACCAGATGACTGATGATGGATGAGCTGCAGCAGAACATTTCTAGGTCACAGCACTGAACGCTCATTATACAAGCAAAGTGTCCAAGTCTCGGTTCCTTAAAACTATGGGTTATGGTCTGAAATGTGTTTTGAGCTGCTGCTGATAAGATGTCCACATGACAACACTAATAATAACTTTACTGAGCCAGCATGAGAGGATGAGAATGTCTTCAAATTAGGCAGAAAGGGTTGAAGTGCAGAAGGTGCTGCATTCAAGGAGAGCAAATGTTTCTTTTGATTTTAAGCATGTCAGCAAGTGTGTTTTGGCTAGCCTCCTAAAAGGTGGGGTCAAGCGTGCCGTTCTTTTGTTCTGCTTTCTCTAAGCTCCACGACAAGACAAGTTTCCAAAACCAAAGATGAAGAACTGGGCTGAACTCCAAATAACACTGCAAGTCTGCTGGAAGAGTCCGAGCTGCTCTAATGATATCAAACAGACCCGTGCCTGTATTTATAATGTTTCTACAAGATTCTGCTTCATTGGAGAACATTCACTGGGCAGAAAGGAAAGACAGCTAAAGATGATGAGTCAGAATGTACCCTGTAAATGTCATCAACACTGGACTTGACCCTTGCCCTCTTAAACTAGGCCTGTCCAGTCCTCAAGCCTCTAAGAATAGCAGCACTGATACAGGATCATTAATCAAGTCTGATGTGTGTAAAACCTTCAAACTGATATTACATGGCAACTGGTCTCAGTCTCTCTCACAGTACAATAAATATAAGAGTTCAACATTTTTTACTGTGACTACAGTAGCTAACGGGGATCTAAATAAAACAAAACAAAAAGAACAAAATATCTGCTTTCCATCCGAATTACACAATTCAGCTACTCAACTATTTTTCCATTTTGATTTTAAACATAAACCCTACAGAAGCTGTGAGTCTTTCAGCCGTGAAATGCACACAAATCTCTGTAACACTCACACATGCTCTCGGAGTGGCCAAAAACTCTTACAGCCACTAAATCAGCACATAAAACGCAGCGAGAGACTCTGCAGTGGTCTTCTACATCAAAGAGTGTACGCTGTCGTGACAAAAATGACATGTGCAGTAAGTGGCGTGTGAACGTTTCATGCAAATCCAAGTCCAAGATATATTGTTGTCTTCTCTGAGCTTAGGTCAAACTCAGTTAACTTAGCAGCTTGAAGTAGGTGGGCCGACAATATTCTACACACATCTGTACATACTTTAAAAAGCTTTCAGATAAGATTCAGATAAAAACATAAGCCCTCTAGTCTTGAAGGTGAATCTGTGGATTAATTGTGGGTCAAATAGGATTTTTTTTAATTTCCTGGTAACAAAGAATAACCACAATATTCCTACAAGGATCAGAGTCCCATCATACTTTATGCTATTTACCTTCAGTGGCTCAGTGGTATACGAGTTGAAGCAGTTGTGAAATGTGTACGTCTGTCTAAACTATTTAGAAAGATGGCAGTTGTTGGGGTTGCACAGATCTCTGAAATGGCTCAGTAGAAAACAGCTGAGAGGCAACTGGTCTGCTTTCCTCTGCCCCATTTAATTCATGTGGCTGAGATAAGCAACAGTAACGAGGGTGTACACTATTGTAGTGGTTGAGCACTGACAGAATGCAGTACACTACACAAAGTTTCTTTTTCATATATAGTTGTTACCATTTGTTCTACAGTCACATGTGAAGTCGAGATAACAGTAGAGATAAAGTCATGATCAAACTGTCACTTTTAGACATTCTCTCATTCTACCAACTTTAAGTGCTGAAGAAACTAAAGCCTCCACTTTGGGGACCAGTATGGAGGCCTGAGGTCAAATCATTTGTGGATTCTGCAGAGGTCAAAATGTCATGTGTGTGTCACTTCATTAATCAGTGTCATATCAAGGTAGCTGCTGATGTGATACATTAGTAATCCAATAGGCTTGAATGAATGCATGTATGCATGTTTCAGATGGTGACACACTGTGTGCAGCAATGTGACAAAGAGTGAGAAGCAGCTCATGTAGAGGGATGACCAAAGATGCAGTTTAGGCTCAGATTTTACCGCAGTGAATAACAGAGCATGCAGGGCTATGCAAAAACTAAAACTCAATAGAAAACCCTAACTTAACAAGCTCCAATTAATCCACAGTGATGTAAGTAGGTCACAGAGTAACTGACAAGCACACAACTGTTGCATCTCACAGCACTCGTTGACTGAAATCCTTATTGTGCAAGGTTTGACATTCTCTACTTACATTAAGTTAATGTCATTTAAAGTGATTTAAAACATTACTATAGTTTGTACATAGAGGTTAAGAGGTAAGGCAGACTCTATGAAGTAGCATAAGTAATACACTCACCTACTGGATCACTGGCATTAGTTACAATAAAACATTTCTTGTATCAAGGACCCCCACATAGCTACTGTACATGATAAAAACTGAGTCAGGATCCTATCTGTGCAGGACTTCGGAGGACTTGCAGCGTGCCACTACTTTAAGAGGGAAGTCTAGATCAGCCAATAAAACATTGTCCAACAGGAGGTAAAATAACACACAAAAAAACCTATTCATCAGTTACTGTCAGTGACCTCATGAAAACTTATTTTCTCAAAGACATTGTTAAAAAGCGTTGTCCTGTACATTATTTTAACCCTGTGATCTCAACTAATTTGACTGTTTTACAGCCTGCGGGATCATTTTTGCATTTATTTCCGTACCTCCTCCAGCGCTATTTATAGCCGACCGGTCCCGCTGGGTGACAGCAACGAATACTTTGACCAGATATGGTTTCCTTCAGAGCCGCCTGGAGTCGCACTGCGCGGTCAACTCTGCAGCAGGCGCACAACCCGGGAACCCGCACAGAAAACTCCACTACACGAAACCGTCCATGACCCGCAGATAATCCTCAATTCAGTCGATTTCAGCGTGCTCACAGAGTTTCCTCCCACGGCCCTGGTCGTCTCGCAGCGGGTTTCAGGAGGCTGAATCTCATCTCCCGCAAAGGGCAAAGTAAACTTGTGGGGAGAGATCCTCCTCCCCATCCTCCTCCTCCTCCTCCTCCCCCCAACACGGCTGCCCTGTCACTCCAGTGATGTCATTGAGAGCAACTGCGCCCATTATCGGACAAGTTGGTCCTCCAGCATTTGCAATAATAAATGATTTAAAATGTATAAACTGCTTCTTAGTTTAACTCACTCCAGCTTCATGGTTATGGTAGCAGTTCATTTCAATGTAAGTTACAAGGTAAAATGCATGGTGGAGGTACTCAGATACTACACATACTACTACTAGTATACTACTAGTAGAAGTACAGAGGTAGGCCCATATTATCAGCAACATGTTAGACACTTTGGGAAATATGGGCATTTTCTCTCTGGCAGAGCAGAGAAGAGTTTAGCTTAGCACAAGACTGAAACAGGAGGGAACTACTCAGCTGCCTCTGTCTCAAAGGGAACAAAATCAGTCAAGTTGCTGCACCCAGCCAAGAAACAGTCTGGCACATAACCACCAGTAAAATGGCACATTGTTCAACACTTTTTAAATACATTTGATATAACATGCTCAATGGTGAACTTTAGCAGTGTTATGTCTGAATGTTCGATAATGGACATATTCTAGGTACATTTCATATTCACTCTTTGACAATTTGAGCTACTCTCTCAGGATGACGGCAGGTAGGCATGTCTTTGTTATCCTGCCTGGTGGGAAATATCTGTAAAAATGAAATAAAAATGTTTTTAAAAAGAAAGGTCACAGTAAGGGGCCAGAGCTCACTCTGCCAGGCGCCTGTCACGTTAACATTTAGAAAATGTCCAGTGTGTAGGATTCAGTGGCATCCAGTGGTTCAATAATGGGTAAAGCCCTTTTATTTCACTGGCAGTTCATCCTGAAATAGCAGATCACACTGCCAGAACACTGGTAAAAAATGAATAATTTAAAAAGCTTTCAGTAAAAGTACACCCTCCTTTGGCTACATGTTTTAATAGAACAAATCCTTGTGAACAGCTTTTCATGTTGAAACAACACTAGAAATATTACAACTTATTCTTTTCAGTCAAGTCATACAAGATAATATCAAACAAGGTGTTCCCATCAGTGAAGCTTTAACAACTGCTTACATTAATGCAGTTAAGTAACTTCGGTTGGATTAATGTAAAAACATATACACACAAAATTAAGTGCAAAATGAGCCTCACCATTACATGCATAAGGCACGGCAAACCAAAAGTTAGTCGAGGGAACAGAGTCATAAAAACACACACACACACACACACAACAAACCATGCCACACAGGTGATTAACTTGAAGAAACAAAAATAAATGAATTAATGTGAGTTGGGTTTGTTTCTAAATGATTACTTCCAAGACTGACAAGAGTAACATTTGATGGTGTGTAATGTTATCCATCTTCTTCCTAATTAATTTTCAGCTGCACTCAACAGCATTTGAGACAAATGTAACAGAAATAATGAACTCAACAAAATAATCTCTTCAGTCAAGTTCAGATGGCCCCTGACTATGACCAAAACAATTAAAAGGGCTTCTTTAAAGTCTTTGACTGGGAGAAATATCCAGAACACTGGAAATGAACCAAGGGCAGAGGGTGACGTTTGCTATCCAAAGTTCACCGAGCATTGTCACCATTTTTAGAACTTGAAAATAACTTGTTGGTTCAAAAATACTTTTCGGTAGAAATACTTGCAGTCACAGAGTCAGCTTGCTGGTTAATTTCCCAACATGCATGAGGAAACATTCTAGGCTGCAGAAGAGAGATCACCGCTGATGTCGGCCATGATGCTGTGAATCCAAATGTCCCTGTCCTCCACTGCAGTGTCCACCAGGTAAACTGTCAACCTCCGTTCCCACAGCTCACCTTTAACCTCCGACACCTCCTGCACGCTCTCCACTTGGGCTACCAGTGCTCGATCCTCCACGTGGTTCCTGAATAACATGGAGGCCTCCTCTGACCACTGGTGCTGTGTCACACCTACAGGACAAACGGGAGGAGGCATCAGTAATAAGACTGAAAACCCAAGGTGCTCCACTTCGTATTATCAAGGTGGATAATTTATATAATAAAAAATAATCATTAGTTGTTTTATAGCAATGTTTCATTACAATTAAAGTGGAATGAGTATGGAACCAACAGACAAGGATCAAGTGATTGCTTGCATTAAATAAGGACAGCTTGTTTAATATTGAGAAATTCATAAGAATTAAATTACACATTAAGCTTTGAGTGGGGTTGAAAATGACATTTTAACAACATTTTAATCTGAGGACTACAAAATAATTAATTCATTCTAATATTAAACTTAGTTAAACTGAAAAATAATTGTAGTACACTACCTGTTAAATATAAAATAACATTGCTTTAATGCATGAATTAAAATGAAACTGACCTGCCAGTTGTGCAGTGATAGCCTGGAAGGGCAGCTGTCTGAATTCCTCTATCAGAGGCTGGAGCAGAGTAGTGCGGACCAGCTCATGTTTTCCGTAGTCCAAATCATAGACAGAAACCAAGCCATTGGCCAGAACCCCCTTCACCTGTACACGGTGCCAACTAGGGTAGAGATAGGCATCAGTTTAACCGTCAACCATTAGTTTTTATATTTTGTTAGCAGGTCTGATATATGTAAGGTTTGCATCAGGGCCAAACGCATTAATCACTTACTTCTTGTCTATTCTGGCAGCGTAGACCTCTCCTTTCTGGATGTTTGTGGCTGTGTTGGCCTTCCTCGTCTGGTTGTAATAGAGGATCATCTCCCCCATCAACACCACCAGCTTATGCAGATCCTGCCATAGCTGCAGCACAAAGTAACCAGGGTGGCAGGCCACTGGCACAAACACATCTATATTCTGACCAGGCTGAAAGAAGACAGGGAAAATGAAGTGTATGTGAGGTTTTGTTGAATATTCACTTCTCTTAGGCTGATGAAGACATTCTGAGGTTTGTTATTATTCTGAGGTTTGTTATTGCCTGGGGTTAAACTCCACAGCGATGGGGCAGCCCCAACTCGCACACACAGAGCTTAGCAGAGTGGAGGGAAGAGACCGCGGACAGAGTGGACGATGACTGTACGGTCCATGAAAGCTTTGTGAGTAAAAACAGCTGTGTGACTGCTTTTGGAAAACAAACCAATAATTGAGTGCCTAGAGAGAGTTTGTCCGTCTCCACACACCTGTGGGAGCTCCAGTATAGGAGGCATCGCAAGAGGCTGCATCCCAGTTTTGGTGTTTGTGTCTGGATAAGATGAGTCCATTACTCCATGAAGAGGTTGGGTTAGGGCCTTGCCAATGGGGACTGGTAGCGATCTGCCCAGAGTCATCTTCTCCACTAGAGCACTGAGACCTAGAATTTTGGAAAACATAGGTACATGCAAAACACCTTCAAATGTATAGGGAGTCAGCATCAGCATTTAATCCTCATAGATCTGCTTCAATACAAATCCAAAATAACAACAAAAAAACCTGTCCAGACTCAGAATAGACTTATTCCTAGTCTTAGTACTACCTGTATCCACACTGCTGTTATTGCTGGTGATTGTGTTGTTGTTCTGTGTTGTGAGTTTGTGCCACAACTCTGACTGGGCCAGTTGACGGTTGATGCTCTTGTCCAGCTCCTGACTGTCAGCACCGACGAAGAGGTACATATAGACCAGCCAGTCCCCCTTGTGCCTGTCTAATTTCAAGATCTAAAATGAGGGAAGAAAGGGAGAAAAAACATGGCCTTACTTGTAAGCTTGCTGCTACACCATACACTGCCAGTCTGCTTTAAGCAGTCAAGCCTTTATAATCAACATACACTCAGTGGCCACTTTATTAGGTACAATTTTCTAATACTAACAAACAGCAGTCCTCCCACTTATTTAAATGTGGGTAGCGCATTAGAGCCACAGCAGTGGGGAAAAGAGAGATTATACTATATAGAGAAAAACAACAATGCCTGATTTGGTGTGAATATGGCCTTCCAGCTGCATGTTGATGTGACAGCATGAGATAGCTGATGCAGATTCGTCAGCTGTGACTGAGAGACTGAGAGCTGTTGACGGTGGAGAACATTGGAGTACACTGAACTGAACCAGCTTGAGATGATGTATGCTTCGTGACATGGATTTCTGAGATACTCATTAGGTACCAACAAGGTCAAAGTCTCACTTAGATCAAATGTCTTCCTCATTCTGATGAGCAACTGAACCTCTTGACCGTGTATGCACGCTTTAATACACAGAGTTGCCACCACATGACTGGGTGACTAGACTATTTGCATTAGGAAGAAGGAATACAAGTGTACCTAATGAAGTGGCCACTGACTGAGTATGGTTTCCTGCCATATTTATGGCATGTTTCAATTAATGCAGGAAAAACAAACAAGTTTAACTTTATGTTACAGGTGTTTCAGTATGTTACCCTCATTTTACAGTCCTCAGAGCCCAGGAGAGCCTCCTTCACCCACAGAACGGCCTCTGGTCTCCAGTCTCCCTCTGGAACTGTGAGGTCAGCCAGGCGACATTTGATAGCCTGGAGGGAGCAACGATACACACACACAAAACAAAAGATGAACCTATATATGTGTTACAACTACTTTACCCAGGGTTCGTAGACATTACAAAATTAAAAAGGACTTTCAAGTACTTTTAAGACCACAGCTTTTCCATTTTTTCCAAAGATACTACACACTGTAGTCTCACTCAATGTCCTACACAGCAATATCTGATTGGTTACACATCACAAGTGATAGCCTATCAACACTAAAGGCTGACAAACGGTAGTCTCACAGTTTGAGATCTCAGCACTTTACAATCCTCTGGGAATTTCTAAATGCGAAGTAGATGCTTGAACAGTGTGGAGAATGGCCCCTAACAACTGTATGCCCCTCACTTCAAGAACATGCCTTACCTGAAACAATGCATTATAGAGAGAAGGAAGAGAGGAAAAGATGCTTCTCCAACCATTTGCTTGGTTGAAGATTAAGGTGGACTTACTCCCACAACACACACTAAAACAACTGACC